TCTGTACCAGGTATACTATGCACCTAGCATGGAAATACGTGTAACATAAACAGGTGGAAAGAGGAAGGAGCACAACCAAAAAGGGAAAGAAAACTGGTTGGGTCAGAAGTTGAACCACAGTATACCTGTAAAAGAACCATCTACAGACAGGAATGTGGGGAAATGGAAAATGGATGTGCTCCAAGGTTTAGAATGGCTAGGGCATGACAGATCATATGTGGCTGGTCAACTCCAGTCCAAAACCAAGCAGTATCTGGAATACAATCTCTGATGTAGGAGGAGGGTCCACAATATCTTCCCCTCAAGTGAAGTAGAAGGGCAAAGTATGATGTGTAAGCCAACCTACAAAACAAGCACACATGCACAGATCCACAACCAAACACACATCCTGGAACCCAACGTTCGAGGGATGGTAGGAATAGATGTGCCAAGGTGTCAGGTTACATCAAAGTTAATCAGACTGGTACTTCACTGTGCAACACCATCCTCAAGCAGTGAAAACACACTGAGGTGGGGCATGAGAAGAACAGTTATCCCAAACAACATTATCCTCTGGATAGGACTGCAAAGAAACCGAAGCACAACACCACCCTCCGAGTCCCACCATACATAACTGGATCTCCTCTAGAAATATATAGCAACCACACCCTCTGGATAGAACTGCACAGAAGCTGGGTGCAACATCAACCTCTGGGACCCACCTGAAGTAGGTGGAGATCCAGAGGCAAATTGTGTGAGGAAGAGATAACACAACCAAGACGTCTGATGATTTATGTTGATTGGTGCAGCTCCAATCTAAAACCACTCACTGGGAACTGACAACCAGGTGATGGTATGAGGAGGGATCCCAATCAAATGGGTGAACTGCAATGTGACAGATTTACCCCAAAGCAACATCACCCTCCCTATACAACTGCACATAAGCTGTGAGCAACATCAACCCCTGGGACCCATTGCATGGAAATGGAGCGTATTTATTCGTATTTATGTGCAATATCACTCTCTGGACAGAACTGCACAGAAGCTGAGTGCAACATCAACCTCCAGGACACACTGCATAGAGTTGGAGCACAAGATTGGAGGATTGCACACCATCTACACCATTACCCTACTCTCTACTAAATGGAAGTGATCACATTCAGGAGGACACCTTCATGGTCCATACCCCAGCGGCTTTGAACTGGAAAGTGGCAAGGACTCCCATATTCTACTAGAAGAACAAAGGGAGATAAAATGCAGTGGAGAGTCTGGAGGAATGCCAATACAGGAGACAGTGCAACGGGTGACCACAAAAACCCTATACTGAAAACAGACTGCTCCTGATTTATTCAATCGAAGGGACATCAGGGATGGGCAGCAATCCCTTTCTGCTTTACCAATTTAAGTTCATGGGTTAGTACAGTCTGGAATGAGCATATTAATAAAGTAAATATATTGCAAGGAAAAACTTACTAGTGATCTTGTGGAACACCCCATCTCCAGAATGTGTGTTATTGGCTATGGGTATTTTTTACTGATTTCTTGGCCGTACAATGCAGATTTGAGATATAGGAAGTATACTTGGACAAGTAATGCTCGCCACAGAGTGGGATCCATAATGAAAAAAAGGTACATTCCACTGAAAGAAGATATATATACACACACACATATATATAATATAACTTACTCAGTCAGAGCCAAACCAAAGTTTAAAGGATGGCAACAGGTGTACGATGGTACCCCGACAAGGAAGAAACAGCCACCCAATGAAGACAGTGGGAGATGAACATATGAGGTGCAGTCCACATGCCTGATTGAAGAATATCCTCCAACTAACGATGGAGGTGAAATTCTAGGGAAAGAGGTTAGGTGCCAAATCTGATGTGACAACACCTAGAATAGATTTTGGGAAGGTGACAAGGATGAATATGCCAAATGAATCAACAGCCAAACCCAACTGGTACGGGTGGAAGGAGAAAGCTCACAAACAATGGAATGTTGCCAAGGGATGAAAAAGCTGAAATGAGAACCATAGGAAGCTGTGTGGGCAAGATAACAACAAAGAACACGTATAGGACATAGAGGTCTTTATGGATCAGACCAGGAATAAAGGTGAGATATGGAAGGAAACAAAATCAACAAGAAGTAAGAACTTCCCTCAAGAGCCACCGAAGTTTTGGGGAATAAACACTGATTTGGATAACAGCACATATGCAGAATGGTACAGAGTGCATGAAATGCCAATGGCAAATGTATCAGTCCGACGATGCTCTACAGGCTAACAGGAGAAAATAAGTCATAAGGGATAAGTGAAACAAAGAACATGAGGACAAAGACGCAAATGGAGGTAGAGTAAGGCAGAGAAGAACAACATTGACATTTTAATTCAGAAGGACTGTCTGATGAGGATGTCTATGAGTCTGGAAGGAATGCAACAAAAGGGAGAGGGTAAGGAAGGTACACACCAAATGGTACCAGGAAAAATGGAAGGTGTGGGATAAGACTGTTTTGATAACCAGCTAAGGAAGGGACAGAAGAAAATCGGTAATGAGTGGAACAGTGGGCCGAGAAGGGGGGAAACCCAGCCTCAGAGACCAATGGTGGAAGATGTTCCATTTACATTGATAAACCTCCATAGAGGAAGGGCAAAAGAATCTGCTAAAAAAGAAGTAACACACCTAGACAATCCAGATCTCCTTGCCAGGGACCTGATAAATGCATGAAGACGGAGGGTAGTAATGATTGAAAGACCGTTGATCAAGGTTGACATAAAAGAATGGAGTGAAAGGAAGAGGCAGTTTGTAACTAAAGGAGACAAGGAAACCAAGATTATGCCAGCCAGTAAGGAGCAATCAGAAAAACCTGACACAAACTAATGTGGATGATCAAAATCACCCAGGGAAGAAGTTGGATGGGAGAATAAACATAAAAGTACGAGTTGATCCTATCCTGGCTGAAAGCATCAACAGCTAGGGCCTGAGGATGAGGAACCAGAGACCCCAAAAAAGAGGTAACTTGGTATTGAGGAATGTGGTAAATGTATCTAGACGAGAAGTACCAGAATGACTGCGTTGCAACTAGAAAACCTGAGGGTTGAAAGACCACTCCATGTGATAAAGTTTGTCTGGTTTTGAAAGGCAATCCACCATGAGGATGGAAGCACCTGGTACATTACATGCAAAAAGATGTATCCCCAGTGTGTGGGCCCAAAAAAGGAGTTCTAAGGTTCGATTGCAAATGAATGGGTGCCCCCTTGGTGACTGATATAAGCCACCATTGTAGAACTGTCCTAATGTATCATAAGTAGATTCTGTGCAAGAGGAAGAAAGTGATCCAAAGCACGTTGTACGGCCAGTAGCTCCAAGATGTTAATATGGTAAAACCTCTCTGCCAGACACCATTATCTGGAAGCCTCCTGCTGATTGATTTATGCCCCCTTCCCCAAACGGGGAGAGAAGCACCTGTGAATAGATGAAAATCCAGATGAAGTGGAGGATGCGGTACAGTACACCCGACAGCATGTGGGTCTTGTTCAACCACCAATGCCGATTGTTTAAAAGGGAAGGAGGAAAGGTAATGAGAGAATCCAAGAGATCCTGAGCAAGATTCCATTGGTTGTGCAAAGTCTACTGAAGAGACTACAGCCTATGTTAAAAAAAGTGATAGAACCTCGCAAGCAGCAAGGGCATGTAGAACTAAAAGCTCCATCAAATGGGGTCGAGGTGGAGGAGGTTGGGCCTGACTGAGGTAGGTGTTAAAAAAGACACCAAAGTGGATAAGATATTGGGTGAGCAACAGGAAAGCTCCATCAAATGGGGTCGAGGTGAAGGAGGTTGGACCCGACTGAGGTAGGTGTTAAAAAAGACACCAAAGTGGATAAAATATTGGGTGAGCAACAGGAAAGCTCCATCAAATGGGGTCGAGGTGAAGGAGGTTGGACCCGACTGAGGTAGGTGTTGAAAAAGACACCAAAGTGGATAAAATATTGGGTGAGCAAAAGGAAAGGCTTCCCCCATCTTGATAATCCAACCCACCCAAGTCACTTCTGTCAAAAGTAACTCAGTATTGTGAAGATTTCAGTTCAGAATGAGCTAACAGAAATCAGTCGTCCATGTTGTTGTGTGAATGTAACCCCAAGTATGCAGAAGCTGAGCAAAAGCTTTGACTACATGACACAAAACATACGGAGCTGAAGCAAACCTGAAGGGTAAGGTGCGAAACTGATACACATCCCCATGATGGACAAACAGAAGATATCATCATGACTGATAAGAAATAGGAATATGGATATAAGCATTCAAGACATCTATCTTAATCATACACAGACATGGTGAAAAAGCACATATGACATTTTGTGAAAACTCTGTACATGACAGAGAAAAAACGTATATCATTTTCAGATTCAGCATGCAGAAATTATTGTAGAACATGTAAGAATTTCAAGACAACAAAATAATCGCAGGCCTGTGTTATTAATGTAGGTTTTCTTTGAGAAACCAAATTGACTATAAGAAACAAAAATTGTAAGACTAATAAGCCTATAATTACCAATATAATATTTGTTACCTCCCCTCTGTGGAAGGGCAGACTGGGTGGTTGGAGCAGCCTAGTGATTTGGCTATTGGACTGACCATAGCCTTTAAGGGGGAAGGTAGTTCAAGACTTAATTAAAATGAAGTAAAAATTGTATGCAAAGCTTAAAAATCAGAACTTTATATTAAAATAACTAACAATTTTATTTCCAATTTATATTAATAATTGGGCAGACTGGCCTGTTAATTACATTGACCACTGTTATGACCTCCTCCAAAAATCTTTGCTATAAGCTTAATAGGTACTGAAAGTAAATCTCAGTGTTATTCAAAATAATAACTATAATGACTAATCATTACTTCTGTACTTGCAATTAAAAAAGTAAATAATTCTACTTGTATTTGTAAGTTATGGTTTAATTAACAATTTATTCACCCCTTTCACGTGCTACTATATTATAATACAAAATGCTTTTAGTTTTACCAAACCTTTTTTACTCTGGAGTTGAAGTAAAATCCTCTCATCATCTGCTCTAAATTGTGAACAAGATTACTGCTCTGCTCAACTAGGCAGGGGCCACATCTGTGTTTAAGTTCCAAATTGATATTATTGGACTTTTCCATCCATCCTGCCGCTGGCCAAATGTCTTTATCAGAAATACACGTTTTCACATTTTGCACTGAGCTTGAGTCTCGGAAACTTTGAAGTTGAATCATTTGTTTGGAATCCATAACTTTTGATAAGCCATCTCCTGTTTGGCTTTTCTTGCATACATCATTACTTTCTTCAAGCTTATTTGAATTGCATTTTTTTTGTTTTTTCTCATCTAGAATTGCAAAAACATTAGATGAATCAGTGGCACTGTTTTGTGTCTGTAACTTATCTGAACGTTTTCCGATACTATTGGGCTCACATTTCATTCTCTGCCGTGTTCTAAAGTAACTACTGGTGCTACAATTATTATTACCATGACAAGAACTAGTATTAGAACTAGAAGTAGTATCAATACTATTAGTATCACTACTAGTACTAGTTATAACACTAACAGGTACCCGAGTTACCTCACACAGAACAGGTTTTCTTCGTCTGCTTACTTTACAGCTTTTATTGCTGTATTCTATTTTGCAACGTTTACGAAAATTCGCGTTTCTTGATTCTTCAAAGTCGTCATCCTCAAATTCCAAATTGTTTTCGGTAGAATTATGACTAAACGTCTTTTGAACACGTTGTGTCTTACGTCGAATTACTGGGGGCATATTTTGTTTTCTACTTTCCTCGATTCAACTGTCAACTTACTTGGTTATGCCCTTACATGATATTATGTTCGAAACTTGGTAAGTACTTAATAAATTTCTGTGTTTTTTTTTACTTTTAATTAGTATACTGCATTTTTATACCTAACCAAATCAAACATCACTGCGTTACATAACTCCTTCCCGCCTTTTGACCCTACCGAGTAACATATTAACCACTGAATACAAAATGGGGACCATTTTCCAATAGCATATTAAATATAGCCCACAAGCCAGGAGAACACACTTTCACACCACCAATAATTACAATTAAATTTTCTATACAGTGTTAGTTTTGTAAACTAATAAGCGATAAGAAATGTTAGTTATTCTTAAAAATTATTTAAGATTATTTATTCAAATATTTTCTTTGTAGACACAATATAAAATGATTCGTGAAACAAAACTATACAACAAATATCTGGATAATATAGATTAATATTGTTTAACTTAATTTATTTTTCTAACTTCCAACTCTTTTATTGTATAGTAGGAAAATTTTATACAATTATTTTCATACTTGGGAACGTGTGCAATAAGAGACTTACTTCCATATTGTAACGGACCAAAACAAAACGCCGTTTACAACCATGGTCGAACGAGAAAATATATATATATATATATATACATGTATATATAAACCTTATAACTACAGAAATCCAAAACAAAAGTTTCAAACAACTGGAATACAAAGTTTATTACCTACGGAGAAACACACACACGCACACAAAGTTAATAAATACGTTGTGCCTGGTCATAGTGGTCAGGACTTGATACAAATGTTAACGAACAATACTATATAAATATCAATATTGTTAATTATTTTAATAAATAAGTGAATTAGGAAAAATATCCAGTAGAAGAAAAATCCTAAATTCTGTAAAAAATACAGTATTCCGAAATTAAATTACTTAGAGATCAATAATAACATCAAGCAAAAATCAACAATAATTCATTTACTTATATTTCGTGAACTAACTCGTTTAAGTCCAAGGCAAGGTTTTTATTTCATGTTTATATCACGAGGTTACATCTCATGTGAATAGCTAATTTGCATAATCTTACACAAAATTAATATCTGTACATCCCCACTAGAGGAGGCTTGTGTCCGTTTCATAATACAACCATACTCAAATTCAACGTGCTCTAACTAGAAGATAAGTTAGCGCGTTAATATAACTACAAATTCATAATTGAACTAAACCATAGAAGGGATAATGAATTAAAGGTAAACATAACCATAACAAAATAAAAGTAAAATTTGCTATCTCACAATGTCACTTGGAATTACACTTTACTTGTTCGGTTGTGCGAGATTCATACTAGATTAATCTATGTTTTTAATGCTATAATTTACTTGTTTCTTATAAGAAGAAGCTAATAATGATGATATAATGATCGAAATACTTTAATAAATAACTAGAAACAAGGATACATATATATGAATTAATAAGTAGTGAATCTGAATTCTGTGAAGTATTCGGTGCGTTAATTATTGAGTAAGAGATTGATCTAGAGAATAGTGATCAAATATAGTTATTCGTTAAGATTTTATGCTTGTGTAGGCTAACCAGAAAAACGAATAAGTTAGTCAGCATTTGTTATCAATCGAGAAAATTTCTGATAAACTTCATTAGGTATACAGTAGTTTCAGAATTTAAGTTGAAAAGTTTGTTTATGAATTAAGGTCTAGAATTCGCATGAAATAAATCATAGCTTGTACTAATTGAAGTTTGAATGCGATGCTCTGGCTGATTATGTCTTATTTATATGCACCTCATTTCGTTATTTATATTCAAACAGTATTATTTTCTAATACATTCATAATAAATTATTCAAATAAAATGTCTTCTGAAATTCCATGGGGGCAAATGCCCCCATTGCCCCATCCTGCGGACGCCCATGTCGATATACCAAATAAAGAGCAGTCCAGAAAAAATCACGTTCTCCCATCTGCATTTTTATTGTTAACTCACCTGGTTCAGTTGTCAATAACTAAAACACGTCATAATGCAAACACAAAATAAGTTGTTTATATACTACACTGTTGTTTCTGATTTACCTGGTTGAGCAATCGATACGAAATACAAACCATTCCATTGCATCTCTTAAGTCCTCCAGTGGTACAGCGGTATGTCTGCGGACTTACAACCCTAGAATCCTGGTTTCGATACCCGTGGTGGGCAGAGCATAGATAGCCAATTGTGTAGCTTTGTGTTTAATTACAAAACAAACAAACAAGCATCTCTTAAACCTTTAAAAGGCCGACGCACTGAATTGTTATAGTTAATTCACCTTATCGAGCTGTCGAGAGATAAAAAAATATTCTACAAAAAACCTAAAACTTACACAGTGCATTGTTATTAAACACTTTGTTAAGCTGTTCGTATACAAGCTGCTTAAATAAATATTGTTCTTGTTAATAGATCTCGTATGTCATATATTGATAGCTCGACAAGGTGAAATAAGAATATAAATGCGAACGTAAGCAAAATTTAATTTTTTCCGGATTAATATTGTTACGTCTCCGTGTGTTAATTAATTTTCCGTAACTTCGTACCGACGAAACTTACGCGACACAAGCCTTTACTTAATAAAACTGGTTTATTCTTTCCGAATATAACTTAACCAATACACTCAACAATCGCGCTAAACAAACGCTATGCTATAGCAACGAACGTCAATAATACTCCGACCGCAGATCAATTACTCACTGTCTCTCCACACATTACATTCCCATCTTTTATATACCAGCGTAACCTATTTCTAGCA